CAGGGAGGCAGGGGCCCTTCTAAAAGCACTGGCCCTCTTGGCAGCACTGCAAGGCAGCAGCACGGGGAAATGAAGCCATGTCACCCAGCTATCAGCACATGGGCAGCCAGCATTCCGCAGCTGAAGGCGGGAGAGCTCCATCCGCAGCACTCCAGGTCAGCTGTGCTGGTACTGAGACGAAGAGCAGAAGATGGTGCTCGCGGTTGGGTTTTGCAGCCATGAGCATTGCATGCTCAGCCATCATATCTGAGGAGAGACAGTGAATAAGGTGATGTTTCCCCTTCCACCTGAGCAGGAATTTCAGGACCAATGGCACTCCCTTGTCCCCCTAGCAGTGCACAGGGCGTGGGATCACTGGATACAGCACCAGGATGGGAAGCACTGTGTGGCTCTGGTGGCACCTGCAGCACTGGGGAAAGCTGTTCCTCCTCTGCTAATCCAGGGCAGCTTAATGTTTTTCAAGAAAGGGCTGGAAAAATAAAAGGCATCGGTAACAGTGGTGAGGGTTGTGGATAACAACTCACTGGTATCTGTTCACACCAGCTACAACGAAACCAACCCAGGATTACAGGCTGCTCAAATCCAGGAATGAAGGGTGTTTGAAGTGCCTCACTGTTAGCAAAACCCCCAGAGTGTTTTCTTGATATCGTTGTCAGGGAAATGTTGAGTTTGGAGATATTCACCCAACAATTACCTTGGCTCTGCCATCAGCTGTGGATGTGCATGGAAGCTGTGTGCCTCGAGATCTCCTGGTGCTGAGCAGAGAATGAGGCAAACCCACAGAGCAGCTCACATGTGGATGGATGCTCAGTGCTGACAATGCTGCTCTGCCCGGGAAGAGATGTGGTTCTCCAGGATTACAGAGAAAAAAGCATGGGAAAAAAAGCAAAAAGTTTGAGCAACTCTTGCAGAAATCTGGCACTTCCAAATTTATTGTTCTGATTGACTTGAAAACTGCACTGCATCTGTGTTATTCCAATCAAGCAGCTCAGTGCTTCTGTGGTGTCGCAGTGAGCATCTTGTCATGAAGTCGAGCTCTGGAAAATAGTTTTGAAGCTCCCGGGATCACAACCTGTGTTCTATTGCTGTTGGCTGATGCTGTTTGTGGAAGTTGGAGCGGCGAGCTGATAATTTGCCAATCACCACCAAACAAGAACTGCTCAGCTTTCCTCGTTGGTGTCCCATGGGAGATCTCTGCTGCTTGAGATGCTCCACAAAGCACAGCAAAGCTTTCTAAATTTATGGGGAATTGGGATGGACCTGGGATGTGAACGCTGCTGGCTCCCAGACAGACAGAGCTCTCTAGTTTTTGTTTTTTAAGTGTGGAAAATGGAGCTCGTGGCTGTCAGGGTTAGCCCATCCCGTGACTTATGAAGCAAATGCTGGGCCAAGCTCAGAGCTCGCAGTGTTTGTTTGTTTTTAGCAGAGCTGGCCAGAACACAGCAGCACTGTGATATTACCAGAGGGAAGCCTTAGGTTTTCTCACCTTTAGTTCTGAAAACCTGGGAGGCACATGGCCCTCTGCTCCAGGCAGCCCACAGCTGCCAATGCAGTGGTGATGCCATGGGTGAGATTGAGCCCTCAGCTCAGAGGCCATCACTGGCAGCTCGGGGAAATCCTCACCAGAAGCACCGCTCCTGTGCGCTGTTGTGTTCCCCCCAAAATCCCCGGTTTCAGGAGATAAAAGCATCACCCACGCGTGACTCATCTTGTTAGGTGTGTTTTCCCTCCTCTTTCGAACTCATCCTGGAGCTGTGTGTGCTGCTGTGAACAGAAAGCAGCAGGACGGAGGGGGTTTTGGGGGAAGGAAGGGTGAGAAATGTTTGTGGTGAGTGAGTGCCGATGGGCATCGGTGCTTGGGAGCATACAGCCTGCTCTCTGCGAGGCACTGAAGAGCGACTGGTGAGGGGAGAACTTGGGTGCATGGGGAGGGATGAGGAAGGCTCTGACCTGCTCCAAACAGATGGGGAAAGTCCCCCTGAGTCTCATTCCCCTGTGGGAAGGCTGGGAGTGAGAGAGGCTCCTCTTCGCCTCACCGCTGGGAACCAGGTATAGCCACTCGAGGTGAATTTAACAAGATTAAAGCTCCCTGTTTGCTCTCCCTTGCTCTCTTCCAGCCCCAATTAACTCCTGCTTAAGCTCCCTGTTCCCAGCCACAGACCCCAGCAGGGGCTGTGTGATGCCCTGAAATGGGGCACGGTGGCACTCGAGCATCAACCATCTGCTCCATTGCTTCTTGCTGTGTCTGCCTTGAGCTCTGGATGCTCTAGAAGAGGAGCAGTGTCCTCAGTTCAGTGGCAAATGGAGGAGATGGTGATGGAAGAGAAATCCATCAGTTGCATCCCTGCACCACTCCCCATCTCCATCTCCATCTTTGCTCATCCTCCCATGTTCAGGACGTCCCTCACTCTGCTGGAGAAGCAGCCACCTTTGAAAGGTATTTTTAACATCACCTTCTGAAAATGTCGAGGCTGAAACCTCCTGGCAGACAGAGAGCTATTCTTCTCTCTGATGAAGAAACTATTTCCTCATACATCTGGTTCATATTTTTCTTTAGGTTTCTGCCAGAAACAATTCCGAAAACAAAACGCAGAGCAGAGTGAATGTATACATTCCTGAAGGATTCCTTCACCGCTCCTCTCTGACCCAAACTACAGCCCTCCTCACCAACCATTCTTTCTTTCTTTTTTTTTTTTTTTTTTTTCCAATTTCTTTTTAATTAGTTTTCCTTTCAAAATGTGAAAACATACGGCCTGATGAGCTCTGGAACGCTGTTGCCTGCGTCATATAAAATGATCTACTTTTAGAAATTAATTACAGAGAATACGACAAGGAAAATACTCTGTTGCAGAAACTGTTGTTTGTTTGTTTTTTCCTAATCATTTGAGCCCATTATCTTTCCAGTCAGATTTTGTCTGGAAATCCTTCTCAGATACAAGTTTTGCCACTCTGAAATGTTGTGTTTTTCTTGGAAATCCAGGTTTTAACCCCCAAAGGGGAAGCAGTGGTGCTTGGAGCTGCAATTAGGGTTGGTGTGCAGCCCTGTGCCGTCTCTGGTCTGGTGCCACAGGAACAGTGCCAAGGCAATGCTGGCAGGGTGCAGCTGGTGGGCAGGGGGAAAGCAAAGAAAAAGCCTAATGGAAAAAAAGCAAAGGGAGAGGGATATCCCAGATCTGCTGCATCTAAGCCCCAACAACTAGGAAGGATGGAGTGGGAAGCTGATGGATTGGTGCAACTGTGCTGCACGCACCTGCAATGCACGGTGTTGTCATAGCACCACACTGCTGCCCCTGGAGCTGCTGCTGGGGAAGCAAAGCGTTTGCAAGACATTGGTTTTCCCTAATTGGGAACAGACATTGTGCATTAAGAAAGAAGAGTGCAGCCCCAAATTATTTACGTCCCTTGTGGGAGCTGTGACTGCTCATTTGCAGTCAGCCTCTGCTCATGGATTTTTTTTATTATTTTTTCTTTTTTTGCCAAGGTACCCAGCAAATGCCTGAGCTAAAGACCCCTCATTTTGCAGTCAGTTCAATGGCAATGGTCGCAAGCAGCTCATGGAGGGAGGCTTGTTGCTGATGCAGAGCAAAGAAACCCAGGCTAGGAGCAGGACTCCCTCTGCCTCCCTCCAAAAAAATATCAGCTTTTCATTTCTAGCTTAGTTTTGCTGTGAAAGAGCGAGTGTGAAACGCCTGGGAGCTTTGCAAAAGCATCCAGGGTTGAAGGCTTTCCTCGGGCGAGCCCGGTGCTCTCACAGCCCGAACCGAGGGAGGTAGGGATGGTTCACACAAGGGCTGAGTGATGCTGCGGGGCGCCGGGAGCAGAGCGGACGGGCGGGCTGGGGCAGAACTCGTGAGGCTCCTCTGGGAGAACAGCAGGTCAGGGCTGGGGGCATCGGGCTGCCCCCAGGGACACCGTGCGTTCAGGGGAGGATGGAGGGCAAGTGGTGGCTGGGGTGTCACCCTGGGAACGCACTTCTGGTCGCGGTTTGACCCGCTGTCCGTGGTTATTCAAACGTCGAGAGCGAGAAGGGTTACAAGGTGGCACTTTCTGGCTTTCCAGGGAAGGAAAACCGCCGGGACGCGGCGTGAACGCTGCAGCTCGGGCTGCTGGAAGGACGGGGCTGCTCCTGCTGGGGGGAATCCGTGCCAGCTGCCTCTCCTGCAGAGAAATGCCGGCTCTCACGCAGTAATTGCTGCTGCTTGTAAGCCGCGCTGCTAAAAGACCAAAGTGACTGATTACAGAAATGGGAAAGGATTAAAATCTCTAAAACAATGCGAGGGGAAGAAAATAGATGAGTTAGCAAGGGAACCGGCTTATCTCTTCTTGAGCAAACAAACAAGTGGAAGCTAATTTTCCGAGCCAGCAGCTGAATGATTAATGGAACTCCCCGTGATTAACCCTCTGTCACAAGCTCACCCCCTCCGGATAACCGCTTCGCACAGCCATTGCTCTGTTTCACGTCGGGATAAAGACGCGGTTTGATGGTCGTAAATCTGCCGCTCAGGTTGTATTTCAAAGGGCTGTGGCGTCCAGGTACATCTGGGGAAGGCAGAAAGCATCTTGCAAAGATGTTCCAGATGCACAGCACACGCACTTGTTCTAAGCACCGTCCGTTTGTGTCCTTCCCAGCATGCCATCACAACAAGCTCTGTGACACGGGAACAACACGCTTTAAAACACGAACTTGTCTTTTTCACCACATTCTGTAAATGATTAATTTGCCTTATATTAACTTAAAATGAGCTCATTAAGAGATTTCTTTTTTTTTTTTTCTTTGAAAGCACTGCTCATTATACTATCATTTTAAGTAATTAAATCAGAATAAATGGCTCTGTGAAGCTATTTTAATGTAACATCTAATTATATCTGACCTAGACGCTGAACTATAATCATTAACTACATGAACTGTGTAATGTTCTGCAGACTCTTAAATAATTTACACTGGCTGGATTCAGCTGCGTGGTGTTGCAAGCTGAAGTCATTAGATCCAATGCACCTGTAGGCTGTGTGGGGCTGGAGGGTAGAGGATGTTGGGTGGGTTTTCCCCAGCACAGGGTCAGGCTGCTGAGCTTTGAGCTCTGTTTGGTTGGGTTGTTTTCCTTTATGTTGTGTGTGAGGATGGAGCACGTGTTTGCCTGATGCTTCCTTCTCTCGGGCTCGCTAATCAAGGTAATACATTGAAATCAGGTGTATTTAAATAGCATTGTCTCTCATTTAGATGCTTTCACACAAGTGGTCAGAGCACTTGGTTACAAGAAGCTTGGGCTTTTGCTGTGCTGAGCTGTATGATTTCTGTTTCCCTTCTACTGAAGCTGTGCCTCCATTTTAAAGAAGTTTTTTGCATCCAGGCTTCTGTTCCCTGAAATACTCAGGTAAGATGTGCTCTTTAAAATGGGTCTCTCTGGGAAATAGACTGGTGGGACTGTAACCTCTTCCTAACTCAAACAGATGGAGAGGGGCCACGTGCTGTCATGCCATCCCATCCATCTTTGTGTGGGAAGGGGGCCGTGAGCACCATGTTGCAACCTATCCAAAAATTGCTGGTGCCACCTATTGGCGGAAAGTAGTCGGTTATAACACGATTAATGTGTGTGATTGTGCCCTCTGCCTCTCATTTTCCAGCTGGCAGGTGGGTCAAACCAGTTCTACTGTTAGTCTTCATATCGCTTACTGTTGGCAAACATTGTTTGCATTCCTCGTGTATCTTGGGTGTGATTTGCAGAGCAGTGGCAGTGATGTGGCTTGTGGCAGTGGCCCCATAGAGCCCTGGGGATGTGTGTGCAGAGAGGGCAGGTCTGTAGACTTGAGCTGGGAGGCTGGAAACCTGGCTTGGAAAAATAGGTGCTTTTAGACAAACAGTTGAAGCCTACTTGGCTTAGGTTGGGCTTTCCTGTGGCAGGGGGCCACAGTCATGGTCAGGAAGATGAAGGATGGCAGTGTAACTTGGGGGTGTATGGCATGGTACTGGGGATTGTGCCCACAAAAAGAAAGTGTGGGAAAGGATCTCCCATCCTTGGGATTATTTCAGCCTTGCAATAGAGGTGAGCAAAAGCTGGCTTCCTGCCGTGCTGCTGCCTCGGTGCATGAGGCCTTCAGCCAAGCCCTGATAGGCAACAAAAAGCCATGCTGGCCTCTTGCCTGGCATGCTTAAGGAGTTTTATAGCTGTCATATAGTGCAGACCTATATTAGCATCGGGTTTAATACTCCCGGGAAACATTCAGCCACAGTACTGACATCATGGACTGAAGGCTCCAAAGGTTCACTTGCTTAAGTGGCTATTTGTAACAGAGTCTTTTAATAAAAGCTCATTAGAGGAGAGCTCCTGCCTGAACCTGATTTCTGAGACAGATGGAGCAGAGCACAAATGCCCAGCATGGCCTGGGCTTTGGGGAGCAGCCCCACGAGGGCACTATTATGGAAGGAGAGAAGCTCTGGGTATTGCATAGGGACCAATTTCAGCTGCTGGAAGGGCTGGTGGGACAGAGGTGAGAAGGGCTCAGGCATTTCCAGCTCCTCCTACTTGCCCTCACTGCTGATTAGTTTGGTCCCCAAGCAAGGAGCAGAGGGTACAGGGTGCTCCCAAGTTAAGATGATGGGATGTTGGTGCTTCTCTGTGCCACTGTGTGCACCCATAGGGGTGCAATGCCCAGCCCTGTGCCACCACCAACACTGTTATGCTAGCCTTGAGCTGCAGTCTGTGTTCAGGGCTTCCTTTATGCTTTCTATTGCAATTTGGCTGAATTTTTTGTTATTTATTCTTGATGCACAGGGTAAAAACAATCTGAATTCTAGGGAAGAGTTTTTTTAAATGCTTGTCTCCTCTGTAATTTTTCTGTCATGTCATAGAGAGGAGCTGCTTGAGATGTTTCAGCAAAGAAATTACTTACTTCAGTCCTAGGTGTTTTTTTTTTGTTGTTGTTGTTATTGTTGGTTTTTTAAATGCCTTAAAAAATTTGCTCTTTGATGTGAAAATTATATGCACTTAGAGATATGCTAATATGAATCTGAATGGAGGAGTGCTGAGCATGGAGAGCAGCTTGTTTCCAGGCTCTCTCCTTCACCACCTGCATCTCAGACAGCCCCAGCCTCATCCATCCCTGTGCAAGTCTCTCTCTATAGCCATGCTATTTACATGCCTATTCCTCATTTAAATTAGGTTTAAAAGCAGATTCTTCATGTTTGCATTGGGAATTTGCCTTTCTTCTTTCTCAAATGAAGAGTTTTATGCCTTTCTGGTGGCTCTGGCTTTGCCAAAAGATGTTGGTGAGATACGGCTCAGGAGATGCTCCAGAACCAGCTGTGCTTTCCATGGCTGCGCCCTCACTGCTCACTGCAGAGCTGAAGCTCAGCCACAGCCCTGGGTCTCTGGTGGTCCCAGGTACTCCCTCGTTTTTGGCTTTGTGTGGATGAAATCTTACTGCTGACTGAGCTAAAGCTGCCTGGCTTGGCCGCCAGTTTTGAGGGGCTGCATGCTTCTGGTGTCTGTCTGCTCTCAGAAATGTTTTGCCTACAGTTTTTTACATATGCAAAACGAGATAAGCTGGTGGAAAAAATGTAGTGGTAGAATAGCAGCCAGGATTGTATCTTCATGTTTACTTCCCTTGCTGGTTTCTGAAGCAGAGCTTGCAGCCTATAAAGGCAGGCTGGTATCATCGCAGCTGGGGATGACGGTTTGCAGCGGTGCCATGCTGTGTGCCCAGCACGATGGCTGAGATGGGAAGAGCTCCTGCAGAAAGCCTGGAAAGCAGGAGGTGTGCTCTTCTGAGAAGCAGGAGCAGCAAGGCTTAACAGGTGCTGGTGACGCCTGTGTCTTTCAGTGTCCCTGTTGCATGGGGCCATTTTCCTGTAGACTTTCAAGTATAGAACCTCAGGCTGGAGAGAAGGGAAGGGCCCTCAGTGCCAGGCCAGCCTGTTGATTTCCCAGCTGTTCTATGGAGCAGCTCCATATCTGTTTGTTGCACTCATGAGTTCAAGGCTTCCCAAGGGACGCACCCAGATTCCTCCAAAGCTTCCAAACCACCGCATGCTCTGACTGCCTTGCATTTGTTTGTGCATTATTTGCTTCCTGGTCTTTTCTAACCAAGAAGGGCACTAAGGATAACCACTAAATTTAAAATGTATCTCAAGAAGTGCAATGCTTATCCACCTATATGGCACCTGAGAAGCTCGCCCCAAAATCTTGGGGATATGACACAGGCAAGTACATGCACCCTTTACACCTGCTCAGGGAAACACCACTAATGAGCTGTGTGGGACTGGTGACTCTTCTCAGTTATGTCCATCCAAGCTCAGCAAAAGCTACAATCCAGCAGCTGGGAGTGGAGCAGTTCTTAACACCCAGTTGGAAGCTTGCTGCACGTTGCCTTTGCTCCCAGCATACACTGCTGGCTATTGGCTCACCCTGCTCCTGCTGTGCAATGTATTGCTGTTCCCAGCCTGGAGTTTGCCCTTTGATTTCCATTGGTGTTAAACTAAATGTTTAATCTAAAACTTGCATGCAAATGTGAAGGCTTGGGTATAGGCTAAGCTTTGCTGCTTTAACTCCTACACCCTAAGTTAACTTAGAGGAATGTAGGCAGCATTTTAACCTTGCCAAAGGGAGGACAAGTAGGCAGATCTTCCTCTAGTAAGTTCAGCTCTGAACAGAGTTGGCATATTTGGGGAGGAAATAACACCCCAGGGTAAGAGTGGAAAAACAAGCTGTATCTATGAAGCTTTGCATGAAATAAATCAATTGAAACCAGCTTTGGCTTTTCCATCACGTGCCGAACTACAGAGCGTGCTGTCTAGGGTTGTGTGGGTAGTTTGGGAAGCTTAGCCTGAGAAGGTTTTATCTAGGGTGCTTGGGTTCTGTATGGGAATGGAGATATTCTGGCTCTTGGGAGGCTGTTAGGGGAAAGGTATCTTAAGTGTCTGAGATGTTGTGCTGTGAGTGTACTTAGAGCTGCAGGTACTTGGCCCATCAACAGTATAGCAATGAATCAAAATGAACACATGCATATGTCCAGTAGAACAAAGGGAGCATTAAACAGGCACTACCCTTTTTGCTGGGGAAGAGCGAAGTTTCAGAGTGCATAAATAAAACCTTTTCCTCTTCTGATAAATGTTCTGAAGGTAACTGGTAGAAACACCAGACAGGTCACAAGCATATTTCAGTTCTGCCCAGTAGAAGGGCTGTGCGGTTGGGTTGATTCACGGCCCTTTGTAATGCCCTGGTTATCCCCTGTCACAGCAGATTTGTGCAGCAAGTGCTACACTGTGTCAGTGCCTTGTTAATATTTTTAGGGGGAACAGAGAACAACCATTTCATAGTTGGCTGATGTCTTTTCTTTCATTTCTTTGGTTATTTGTTAGGGAACGGTCTATACTGAAAGCCTGTGCAGAAATGGTTGTTGATGTGTATATGCTGTGCACACCCAGTGACTTCTGCCATCTTTGAGTTAGCCATCAGTGTGCTGTGAGGGGCTCAGTTCTGTCAGCTGTACCAGCTGTTCAACACAGCAAAGAGATGCTGTGTGCAGGCACACCGGCTGCTACGCTCCTGCTTGCAGCTGGAATGAGACCTTTTGGGATGAAGGGAGGTGATGGACACTGTGCTCTGCTGCTTTGCTGTGCTGAGCTTCAAAGCTGCTCTGTGAAGTACTCATGCTGTGCCTGCAAGTTATCCGTGTCTGAACCAAAGATACTCCTTAGAAGTCCATATTAAGCAACGTAAAGTCAGAACTGGCTGCTCAAGCATGTGCTTTGGTAGGTTTTTCTGACCAGGCAGCAGGAACAGTCCCAGCCATGGCTGAGCTGCCCCCATCACTCCAAGTGTGTTTTGTGCCACAAGCAGGGATGGTGTGGTTGAGATGGGCTTGTGTAGGTGCTGGACCTGCAAAGCTTTCCATTAATCCTTCCTGAGTATCCTTTGTCGTCTGGAGATGCTTGGTAAATCTAACTGGGAAACTTGAAGAAAGTGTATGGTTAGATAATGAATTATGGGCAAGAGATATAAAGTTACAGATTTGTTTATTCATTGTAGCTAAATAGTTATTGATTAACTTACCTGTACTTGTTTTGAACTTGTGCCACTTCTTTCAACATAAGGACGTACTACAGATCCTGTCTTTCTCAGTGTGATGGTTGAGCTCCACAGCACGTATCTATGTAATGCAACCTAGGGTTGCTTCAGAATATTGTTGATGGCTTAGGTTTCTATACATTTATATTTTTATATATTTACTTCTTGTATGGACTCTGAAACATTGCTGAGTATGTATACAGAGGGGAAAAAAATCTTTTTTTTCCTTGGAGAACTCAAGCCAAATGATATGGTTTCTGGAGAGCACTGCTTTTTGAGGACTTAGAGTTACATGGTGTTTGAGTATT